ATTTCCTCTGGCTCCACAGATAAATTTCATCCCCTGTCCTTGAGTGAGCCAACCCTCTGCCTGGCTACCCTCTTACTCTTTATATATGTATAAAAAGCCTTGGGATTTTCCTTAATCCTGTTGGACAATGACTTTTCATGACACTTTTCAGCCCTCCTGACTCCTTGCTTAAGTTTCTTTCGACTTTCCTTGTATTCCATCCTTGCTTTGTGTGTTCCCAGCCTCCTAGCCTTGATAAATGCTTCCTTTTTCTTTTTGATTAGGCTCACAATATCTCTCGTTATCCAAGGTTCCCTAAACTTGCCATACTTACCTTTCATCCTTAAAGGAACGTGCCTGTCCTGAGTTCCCAGCAACTTACACTTGAAAGTCTCCCACATACCATATGTTGATTTGCCCTCGAACAACTGCCTCCAATCTACATTCTTCAGTTCTTGCCTAATATTGTTATAATTAGACTTCCCCCAATTTGGCACCCTCATCTGACAACTACACTCATCTTTATCCATCAGTACCTTAAAGCTTATTGAATTGTGATCACTGTTCCTGAGCTGCTCCCCTACTGAGACGGTGATCACCTGGCCAGGCTCATTCCCCAACACTAGGTCCAGTATGGCCACTTTCCTAGTTGGACTATCTACATACTGTTTCAAGAAGCCCTCTTGGATGCTCCTTACAAACTCTGCCCCATCCGAGCCCCAGGCACTAAGTGAGTCCCAGTCAATATATGGGAAGTTAAAATCACCCACGACAACAACCCTGTTACTTTTACATCTTGCTAAAATCTACCTACATATCTGTTCTTCTATCTCCCGCTGGCTGTTGGGAGGCCTATAGTAAACCTCAAAAATTGTGACTGCACCCTTCCTATTCCTGAGCTCTACCCATAATCCATGGTGATATCGTGGGTATATGATATGGCATTACAAATTACTGCAGCTCTTAACGTTCTGTAGCTGGCTCATTTCAGTAGTTTATAGGTGACACCTGTAACATCTCCCAAGCAGTCACTCACTACAGCATAAAGCAGATAACAAATGCATTATTCAAGAGGGCTGGAGAATTCATAAGATTTCAGATAGCAGGAACAGCCAAGCAGAGGACCAAAAACACTAATAATACAGAAGAGAGGTTCAATGTTGGAGAGGATGCAGAAAAGATGTACAAGGATGTTACCGGAGCTGCAGGAGTTTGATTTATGAAAAGAGGCTGGATGGGCTGGGACCTTTTTTCACTGGAGTGTAGTAGGGGTGACCTTATAGAGGTTTATAAAATCATGAGGGGTATAGATAAGGTGAATAGCAAAGGTCTTTTTCCTAGGGTGTGAGAGTTCAAAAGTAAAGGGAATAATTTTAAGGTGAGAGGAGAAAGATTTAAAAGGGACCTGAGAGGCAACTTTTTCACACAGAGGCTAGTTCGTATGTGGAATGAACTGCCAGAGGAAATGATAGTTGCAACATTTAAAGGACATTTGGACAGGTACATGAATAGGAAAGGTTCAGAGGCACATGGGCTAAATGCAGGCAAATGGGACTAGTTTAGTTTGGAAACCTGGTTGGCACAGACAAGTTGGACTGAAAGGGCTGCTTCTGTGCTATACGATTCTATAACAAGCAACACCATAGAGTAAACCATTGGTCTACTAAAGACATGTTCCCACTGCCTCACTTGTTATGAGGCTGCTTTTATAGTATGACCTGGTAGAAGTGTCATATTGTGTGCTTTTCACTGTATTAACACCACTATGCAGAAATGTAACAACAACCGCTTAGAGGAAGAAAAGTAGGCAGAAGTCTAATTTAATGAAGAAAACAGGGAATTGGAGAGTGACATGGAAGGGGATCCACATCAGTGGGCTGTTAGTGAAGTGTGTGCCATGGAAGTTAACACCAAGAAAGCTATGAATGACCTCATACTGACCAGCTTTCAGGCACTTGCTCACTATTAAGTGACATAATAACAGCCTTAACAATTTTCCATAGGTGGCACATTACATCTGAGAATTCACAACGTTCTACCTTGGATGTCAGAGAGAAGACTGCAAGGAGCCTGTGTCTCTAAGACATGTTGTCAAAATCATACATTGTTGACGGGGAAAAAAATCATGAGACTTTTGTATAAAAAAAGACACGCTGAATAAAATAGACAACAGTGTAAAGCGACAAGAAAGCTTCTTGCTTAACATAATAATATAAACACGAGTGCAACCTGACTGTATGAAAGTGAACTTTTAAAACACTTTGGCACATTGCACGGGACAGCTAGGGTAATGGTGTGAGCAAGCTGCTGCCCTCTCTGCTCTGAGGACTTTGTTAATTGGACAGGTATCCTTTGACCAGACTTAGCCTAGATGGGGCATACGTGGCCACTGCCACTGGAAGAGTTTAGGTCACTGGCTTTGGAGCTGGGGAGCTCTTGGCAACTTGAAGTGTGTCAGGCTGCAGCTTCCCCAGCTTCAGTGCAACATGGCATGTCCCATTTCCTGGTGACAGAGGTGCGCCTGGAAGAGTGACCAAGAGCACCAAAAACCTCTTGCTAGCTCACTACTTTAGTAAGCCCATGGCACTAGTAATAGTCTGCAAGGGCGTTCTGTCACTAGGCATTCATGGTGTAATCTCCTGGTTTTGCTACTCCGTGATGGTCTATGCTGTCTCTGTGGAAGAAGCAAATATTTTATACCAGCTGAAACATGGCAGAGGTCATTCCGTGGAAGAAAGCCTCCATTGCCGAGCTATGTCTACTGAAAGCCAAAGGCAGTTCCATCAGATTTCCTCTCATTTGCCACTCCAACTCCAACTAGTTGAGTGTTGCTGTCATCTGAAGTCCTTCAGTGAGGCAGCTGCTCTACTACAGAAGCCCTCAGACTGTCTTTTGTCTTATCTGTCACTGCCTCTCTCATCTTAATCTGTGTGACTATGTGGTATTCACCAGATTGCAACCTCAGGCCGGTGCACACAGCTTGGCGGGAGTTAAATCATATATCTGTGCCGGTACCAGGTGCATGGAATATGTATGTTGTTATGTCCTTAGAGCCATCTGGACTATCATCCTTCAGGAAGGTGTCAGGAGTAAAATGTAGATGCTGGTGTGCACTCTCTGTGGCAGTCAACGATGCAAATGAGCCATAAAAACAATTACTGGAGTGCTGATGTTAACGGTCACTACCCTTCATGGATGCAACAGGTTGCCATGGTAATGGCAGAGATGGAGGAATGCAATTCTTCATCACTCTCCACACTGCTCAATCTGAACCTGGTGTCAGCCACTGACTGTGTACCCTGCTTCCCTGCCAACTCCAGGACTTCCAACTCTACCTCTGTCAGGGGATGAATTGCTGGTTGTCTACCCCTTGTCTTGGATTGCTCCCTGGCACTGTAGTTCTTTTGTTCCTGCAAGCATCACGGGAGAAAAAGTAGTGATGCTGAGGAGAATAACTCACTGCCAGAATGGTTCCTGGTCACACGAGGTGTCAGGTTGCCCTGTGGTTCTTCCAATCTGTGCACGCTCAGGAAATTTAGTTACATTGCAGATTCCAGTGAACTTGTGGCTTATGCAAATCTGGGAGTTGGTGAGGGTGACATACCATACTGTAACATAACTTTCAATGCCCTGACTTTTCCCACCCATCTTTCATTCATTTCTCGGCATGTATTAAACTTAAACTCATCTTTGCAGTTCAGAGGAAGTTATTTGTCCTTTTTCCACACTGCATCCAGTCTGTTAGATGGAGTCTCTAGCTGTTATGTTCCTCAGTGGCCTCTGTCCAGTCCACTTGTTTCTATCATGGCTTTTTGTGGTCATCAGCTGGAAGTAGACTTCCTCTGTGTTCCCAAATCACCTGGAGGAATTGGCTTGGTGAGATCCTACAGAACTGTGGGTTGCTGCTGTAAATGGATAGTGGTGCCTCCAAACACAGCTGAATCCGTTGATGACACTAAATGAACTTTTACAAAGATGGAGATTTTTTTTCAATGCGCTTCCTCAAAAGTTTTCCGATGTGATATTTACATGTCTGACAATGATGTCTAATTCAATTGCAGTCCTCACTGAGAAAGATTTAATATTTCGTTCCTTCTCCTGCATGGGGTTCAGGTGACAAGGATCCTTGTCATGCATAATAATGAGCTTGACATCACATGATCACGTCCTGTGGCTGTATCTTTTCTGTGCAATATTCCTGACTTCTTCTGGTCCCATCAGTGGATTCACTAACCGTAGTACAAAATCAAACCCCCTGAGTTTAGAATCAGTGTAAGTACTCAGCTTACTTCAACTTTAGATCTTTTAAATTTGTGCTGAAAAGAAGATTCATGAATAACAGTATGGGATCCAAATCTTAATTGTAAATAATCTATCAAAGTTTAGTGGCTAAACTCAGCAGCAGTATTGAAGAAGCCCCCAATCTCCAAACATACAGCTGCAGGTGGTGAGGCCTCCTGTTGGGAATGCAACTTGGCCCAGTGATAGCACATTTACTTGAATCAGAGAATCGTACCAAACCTCAAAGCAGAAATGTGAGCACCAAATCTGTGGTTTACACCCCGGTGCAGTCCTGAGGAAGTGCTGAAGTGTCAGAAGTGCCATTTTTACCTTTCAGTTAAGACATTAAATAGAAGCCTCATCTGCTCCCCTCAAAAATTATGTAAGAGATTTATAGCACCATTTCAAAATAGAGCAGGGGAGTTCTCCTCGTGTCTTTGTAAATGTTTATCCCTTAACTAATAAAATTAGAAACCGATTAGCTGGTCATTACCCTATGTTGTTTGGGGCACTTTGCTGTAAGCATGTTGGCTGCCATGTTTGTCTACAGTACAGTCCTTCAGAATTCAGCATCTTTTTTTTGGGCTGCACTTTGGGATACTCAGAGGTCATTAAGGGTGCTACGTGAATGCAAATTATTTCCTTAAGAGTCAAATATTTTTACATGCATCATTACAATATAGAGATATGGAGAAACCGCTTCAGAAATTAAAAATGTTACTTAGTTCACAGTGAATTACTTTGAAAGCCCTTCCAGGTTCTGCAGCTTCCCAAGCTCGTTTCATAGCACGAATTTCATCTTGTCGTTCAGTATCTTTCTTGATCTCAAAACAGTCACTTTCACTAGACTCAGTGACATAATGAAGTGTAAAGTGAGGCTTTGTTAAATCAATTTGCTGCACCTTAGAAATAAAACAAAAACAGTTAATTTCTGCATCAAATATTGCACCACGTACCTATTAAACCTCAGTAAGTAGTTGAAAGGTTAAAACAAGAACAATGAATGAAAAGAAGATCACCTCCATAGCTAATGTAGACTTTTGTAATGTAATCACCATGGTAATGTAAAGGAATATACCAATCAGTTTGAGCTCAGCCACAACATGAGTAGATCAGAGCCAATGATGGATCAATGACCTCAAATGTTAACTTTGTTTCTCTCAGATGCTGTCTGACCTGCTTAATATTTATAGTATTTTCTATTTTAACTTTCGATATCTAGCATCTATTACATTTTGTTTTTGTTACTACAAAATTGCAAGGCAAACTGTAAAGAGATGGCAGCAAAAAGTCCTCTAAGACCGTTCATGATCTGCATCATTGGACAGTGTATTTATGTGCACCACCTTACCTACAAAATGTTAATTCCTGGGAAGGCAAAAAACAAGTAAAAATACTGCAGAATTTTCAGGAAAATTGTAAATGGCTCCTTTGACTTCCAAAATTCTACAGGAGACCGTGGTTACATACCTTCCTGTACACTAATTATACATGATTAACCAGACTGCCGTTTATATTAACATTGTGAGGACCATAGCTGGCAAACCAATTTGAAAGGTCATTGGCTATTTACTCCAGTCTCTACAGCAAATTGTTCCAGAGCCACACTTGCTAAAAGGGTCTCCATTACTTTCTATCTCATCATAAATCCAAGCTCATGTCTTTTGGTGTTCTATCATTGTTTCCTGTGAATACCCTCAATTCCCTCCATCAGTGGAAGGTTTTTCAGCCAGGCTGTATCCTACACTTTGGCACTCATCCCAAAGCATTCTATGTGATAACTCTCCTCATAGAGTCACAGAGTCATGGAATCATACGGAAACAGACCTTTCGGTCCGACTAGTCATTGCCAAAAGTAATCCTCTGAGGTTGTAGACATGCTCACCAAGCCTGTGGGTTTGGTTGCAAACGTTTCGTCACCCTGATAGGTAACGTCGTCAGTGCACCTCCGGTGAAGTGTCGGTGTTCTGTCCCGCTTGCAGTCTGTTGGGGTGTTTGGTACCGCTTCTGGTTCTGTTTCTCAGTGGTTTGTACACAGGGTCTAATTCATTTGTTGATGGAGTTCTGGTTAGAATATCAGGCCTCCAGGAATTCCTTGGCGTGTCTCTGTTTGGCAACTGCAAGTATGGATGCATTGTCCCAGTCGAATTTGTGTCCCTCCTTTTCCGTGTGCAGTGAGACAAGTGAGAATTGGTCATGTCTCTTAGTGTTCATGTATCTGTATTGACAGTTTTCTTCCGGTTTGGCTACGTAGTGTTTCTCACAGTCCTTGCATGATATTTTGTATATTATACCGGTTTTGCTGGTTTTCGGTGTGGGATCCTTTACGTTCATCAGTAGCTGTCGTAGGGTGGTTGTTGGTTTGGAGCTACTCTGATACCTAGGGGTCTGAGTCATCTTGTTGTCATCTCTGAAATGTCCTTGATGTACAGTAGGGTGATTAGTGAGTCTGGTCGTGTTGTGTCTTCCTGTTGTGGTCTGTCTCAGAGGTAACGGCGGATTGTGCTTTTCGGATATCCATTCCTTTTGAAGACTCTGTATAGGTGCTCCTGTTCTGCTTTGCGTAGTTCCAGGTTGCTGCAATGTGTTGTGGCTCGTTTAAATAGTGTCCTGATGCAGCTCTGTTTGTGGGCGTTGGGGTGATTGCTGGTGTAATAGAGTATCTGTTCCGTAAATGTGATCTTTCTATATATGCTAATCTGGAGTTCCCCATTGTTTTTGCATTCTACCATTATGTCCAGAAAGGGTAGTTAGTTGTTGTTCTCTTCTTTTCTTGTGAATTTTATCCCGGTAAGGATGTTGTTTATGTGTCGGTGGGTTTCTTCCAGTTTTGTGCATTTAATAATCATTCCAACACAGAAGAGAGGAAAGCCCTGGAAAGGCTCAAGAAAGACCATAACATTGTGATCTTACCAACGGACAAGGGATGCATGACAGTAATCCTCAATAGAGCCCAATACATCGAGACAGCTAATGCGCTACCAACAGATACCAACACATACCAACAGATGGCGATAGACCGAACACCACAGTTAGGGAACCGGATTACAATGACCCTGAAGAAATTACACAACTCGGGAGACATCAGCAAGACAGACGACCAAAAAATAAAGCCAGAGGGATCCAACACACTCCGCTTCTACTGACTCCATAAGGTACACAAACCAGGGGTCCCCCTCAGGCCCATTGTCTCACTGCCAGGCACACCAACCAACTTGCCAAAGAACTGTAACAGAAATTGAAATACTTAGTGGACAATTCTACCCACTCCAACCACTCTTCGCAAGAATTCCTCAACATCATCAAGGACACCAGGATAGAAGAGAGCGAGATGATGATATCCTTCAATGTAACAGCACTATTTACATCCACAAACATCGACCTAGCCAAAGAGACAATTGGCACACTGCTGGATGAATCAAGTAGACAGGCAACAACATCAATAAAGCCACCCTATGAAACTACTAGATCTGTGCCTCACAATGCACTTCACCTTCATTGTTGGCAATATACAAACAAATCAATGGAACACCAATGGGATCCCCAATATCAGGACTGATTGCAGAGGCAGTAATGCAAAGATTAGAACGGACAACGCTCCCCACTATACAAACCAAACTTTAGGTCCGATATGTAAATGACACCCTTGTGATTATTAAACACACAAAACTAGAAGAAACCCACCAACACATAAACAACATCCTTACCAGGATAAAATTGACAAAAGAAGAAGAGAACAACAGCCAACTACCCTTCCTGTACATAATGGTAGAACACAAAAACAACAGGGAACTCCAGACTAGCGTACATAGAAAGACCACACATATGGACCAGATACTCTATTACACCAGCAACCACCCCAACGCCCACAAACAGAGCTGCATTAGGATGCTATTTAAATATGCCACAACACATGGCAGCAACCCAGAACTATGCAATGCAGAACAGGAGCACCTAAATGGAGTCTTCAAAAGGAATGGATACTCGAAAAGCACAATCCGCTGTTACTTCCGAGACAGACCACAACAGGAAGACACAACACGACCAGACTCACTAATCACCCTACTGTACATCAAGGACATTTCAGAGATGACCACAAAGACCCCTAGGTATCAGAGCAGCCCACAAACCAACAACCACCCAAGACAGCTACTGATGAATGTAAAGGATCCCACACCGAAAACCAGCAAAACTGGTGTAATATACAAAATACCATGCAAGGACTGTGAGAAACACTACATAAGCCAAACCAGAAGAAAACTGTCAATACGGATACACAAACACCAACCAGCCACTAAGAGATACAACCAATTCTCACTTGTCTGACTACACACGGACAATGAGGGGCATGAATTTGATTGGGACAATACATCAATAAGTGCACAAGCCAAACAGGGACACGCCAGGGAATTCCTGGAGGCCAGGTATTCTAACCGGAACTCCATCAACAAACAAATTGAATCAGATCCTGTGTACAAACCACTGAGAAACAGAACCAGAAGTGGTACCAAACACCCCAACAGACTGAGGAATATAAATAACAAGTGGGACAGAACACCGACGCTTCACCGGAGGCACACTGACTATGTTACCTAGCAAGGTGACGAAACATTTACAACCAAACCCACAGGCTTGGTGAGCATGTCTACAACCTCATCCACAACCCGAGCTACAAATCTTCTCAAAAATAATCCTAAACTAGTCCCACCCGCCCGCTCCTGGTCCATTTCCCTCGAAACCTTTCCAATGCCATTTTTAAAAGTCTATTCAACATCTCTCTCCTCAAACTGGCCTTACCTATTTCTCCTCTTACTACTCATAATTCAAAGATAATAAGGGATAAATGGAAAAGAGAAGTACTATATGTGGAATTTGGTTGTAGATCTGCTTGCTTATATTAAGTAGAACTGGCTTGAGGGATTGTATTATCTCCTGCTCTATGCTCTTGAAATTTCCAATAACTTCTGTATTTTATTTCCTTCTTGTGTAGCCAATGAACATATTTTCACTGCTGAAATGTGAACACCAAAATCTGTGCTGTCACTCCAGCCCTGAGAGGCAATTGTAGTGTTGGTGGTATTGTTTCTCAAATAAGGCCTTGCATGCCCTCCCAGGTCAATACAAAAGTCTTTCAGTACTGTTTTGAAGCAAAGCAGGGCCCAACACGTATTTCACAACCAATTATCTGGTTAGTATCACATTGCTTTCAGAAGGGAGCTTACTGTGCACAAATTGGCTGAGGTGTGACTGACATTATAATTATACATTGTATTGATTATACATCAACAATATGTAATTGTCTGTTAAGCATCTTGGAATGCCCTGATGTCATGTGGGACATCATATCAACATAAATTCTTCATTGTTTAGGAGCAAATTACTGCAGGTGCTGAAATATGTACTCAAAACAAGAAATGCTGGAAATCACAGCGGGTCAGGTTGCATCTGTGGAGAGAGAGCAAGCTAATGTTTTGAGGATGCTGCCTGACCCCCTGTGATTTCAACATTCTTGTTTTGAGCTCTTCATTCTTTACTCAGCACCAACAGCTTTTTGTTGAGAGAAGTATTTCTGAGTGGACAAAAACCCCTTGTTGTCCATTCCACAAAGGAACTGGATGATATTAATAAAAAATGTACCGAAATCTCTGGCTTCGTTGGTGCATTTTTCTCTTTTCCTCCTTTGTCCTTATCAGATCCCTTGTCCTTTCCTTTTCTGCTATGTTTGGCTGTTGGGGGCTTTGATTCTTCAGTCTCAGGAAAAGCAGGATCAATAGTCCGCTCTTAAAAACAAATATTTATATAGCAATAAGAACAGATGACACTATGGATGCACTGTATTTTCAGCTCATTTCAAGACAATCGTTATACATTAGTGATAACAAGGTGTAGAGCTGGATGAACACAGCAGGCCAAGCAGCATCAGAGGAGCAGGAAGGCTGACGTTTCGGGCCTAGACCCTTCTTCAGAAATGGGGGAGGGGAAGGGGGTTCTGAAATAAATAGGGAGAGAGGGGGAGGCCGATAGAAGATGGATAGAGGAGAAGATAGGTGGAGAGGAGACAGACCCGTCAAAGAGCCGGGGATGGAGCCAGTAAAGGTGAGTGTAGGTGGGGAGGTAGGGAGGGGATAGGTCAGTCCAGAGAGGACGGACAGGTCAAGGGGGCAGGATGAGGTTAGTAGGTAGGA